TAAAATTCATGGAAAATGAACATGAAAATTTGCTGGCCACCCTGATAATATACATTTACATTAATTAACTACACTCATACTTAGAGAAACAAAGGCATTAATGTTAACCATAGTATTATCTAATAAATTAAGTGATCCACGCAGTCATATGGGTGGGAAACATTTTATGTATGAAATCTAAACTACTTTGCCTCCAGATAATTCTTATGTAAAAGATTTACAAAAGAGTTATGTAAATGATACCCTGATAGCATCTTTAATATTAAATCAATAATTTAATATGTGATAAATTAATAGTAGTAAATTAAAACTGGTATAGAAGATTATATTCAGCAAATTAATAATTATGGTTACCTAAAGATACAGTCAAATTATTTTATATAAAAGAAACACAATAGTTATCCAATAACAGTAGTAAGCAATAGGAATCAGTGGACTTTGTCAGCAAGTATATTGCCACTAGTACAATCATACTGTCTTTAAACTTTTTTTCAAAAACATTTTTGTAGGTTCTTTATTGCTCCACAATTAGACCAAAAATCAGACTGGCAACTCTAGCAGAACTCTATTCAACTCTAGATTATTACATTTTAAATGGCAACTCTAGCAGAAAATTATTACACTATTGCAGGGCTACTGCAGAAAACCATTATCTTTATTTGATGGACTTCATTTTAGCTTTATAAGCACAATATTAAGATGGTCCTCCAACAACAATTGTAAGTGAACTAAGTTTTAACTCTTTTAAAGACATTTTTTTTAGGACATTAACATTCTTCAAGAAAAAAAATTTGTCTGAAAAAAATTCTTTTGTCTGATGTTAGTTTTTAGTATGAAGTTTGTTTATTTTGCTCAAGTAGAGCTTATTTTTTTCAAGTTCAATAATTCTATTAAGTTTTGTGCTGCATTAAATGAAAGTAAAAAGTTTAAAGTTTTGCTTTATAAATATTGTGTTGAAAATAATTAAAAATAGTAGACTTGTTATTAGGTGGTTTGGTGTATTTTCTCAGTATAGTTATTAAGATCTATATTGTAGATGATAGTATTTATAGTCAAATAGTTGTTGTTTTTTACATAAAACTTCATAGGGTACTTTTCTCTTTTTTAGATCAAACTAGAAATTGGAGTTATGAAATCAGATGGATTAGTCTAATCCATTAGCTATAATCCAGTTTCTACGTCTTCTACCTTTAAAAATTTTCCAAAAGAAATTCTATAAACTTTAAATCTATATAAGTTTTCTTATCTTTCTGCTCGCTACAAAACAACTTTTAAAATATTTTATTTCTTATCTTTCTGCTCGCTACAAAACAACTTTTAAAATATTTTATTTCTTATCTTTCTGCTACAAAACAACTTTTAAAATATTTTATTTCTTATCTTTCTGCTCGCTACAAAACAACTTTTAAAATATTTTATTTCTTATCTTTCTGCTCGCTACAAAACAACTTTTAAAATATTTTATTTCTTATCTTTCTGCTCGCTACAAAACAACTTTTAAAATATTTTATTTCTTATCTTTCTGCTCGCTACAAAACAACTTTTAAAATATTTTATTTCTTTTAAAAAAATAAAACAGTGAATAAATTTCCTAACAGAACATACAAATATCTCAATGTTTTTACTGGAAATTTTTAAAATATTTGTTTTTTCTGCCTACAAGTATGAGCACATCTTTTAAAAATGAGAATGTAAACATTCGCAAGTCATTTATACAACAATATAGAAAATATGAATTTGATTATTTAGTAAACTTTTAAGAAATTATTAGTCATTACTATCGAGTAAATATCAAGTTGTTATTTTTTTTAAATGTAGATAGATTTTATCCAATCTGCTGTTCGACCTTGGTTATATATAGGAAATGAACAACAGCTAACAAGATTTTTAAATAGTGATGTAAGTTAACTCTTTTATATTATTTATAAAGTATATTCCAATTTTTGTTTTGCCAATCCTAAAACTAAAATTTCTTTATGAATTATGATCATATATGTAAGTTATTGTCATAGTTAAAAGCTATTATTGTATATACTCTTCTTTGTCTAGTTATAGGAATAAGGGAAAGGAGGTTGTTCTCTGATTTAGGAATATATCTTCCAATCTATATGCTCCATTTGATTGCCCCCTCTCAATCTATGCTAATTCAAATGCATCTCCATTCAATTTACTCTACAATTAGGCAGGGAAGGGAATTAGGCCCTGATATATATATATATATATATATATATCAGGGCCTATTCTAGGAAAAAAATTTGGCCAGTGGTACCCCCTCATTTTGGCAGACTTTAGTGGAAAATCAGCATTTTTTTTTTTGCAAAAAAAACAATATTAGCCATAAAAACGTAAAAAATAAAAAAAAAGGTCCTCAAATTTTAATTTGGGCAGCGCCCAAATATGGTTGATGCTGTTGAAAATGGTCTAGAATAGCCCCTGTATATATATATGTGTGTATATATATATATATGTATGTATATATATATATATATATATATATATATATATATATATATATATATATATATATATATATATATATACCCACACATATACATATATATATATATATATATATATATATACATATATACATGTATATATGTATATATACACACATATATACATGAATGTATATATACACACATATATACATATAAATATATATACATGTATATATGTATATATACATATATATATATATATATATATATATATATATATATATATATATATATATATATATATATATATATATATATGTATATATGTGTGTGTGTGTATGTATATATATATATATATATATATATATATATATATATATATATATATATATATATATGAAATAATATATTCATATTATTATGTGCATTATGTAGATAGGTTAAATTTGAAATTTCAGACTTCCAAGTACAATGGTTCAAAAATTATAGCCTTATTAACATGACTCAGTGGCCCCCTCAATTTACAAATGGTCAAAACAGAATACTTTAGAGCCTAATAACCTTTTTCTCACTTTCAACAAGTGTCTAATTTTTCCAGAACTATTTTTTGGATAGTTCTCTCTTTAAAAAAGTATTTTTTATTAACTTTAATTATATTAGAGAAAAATTATGATCTCCTCAACTTTGGAAAAAATTCAAAATTTTTTAAAGTTTGCCAAAATAAAATTAACTGTTGCATTTTTCTATTCATCCACAAGCCTTTACAAATATAGGCAGCTTGTTGCAATTTAGAACTCAAATTTATCTAAAAGTAAAATGTCCATTCGCCTGAAATTCAGATTTTCTGCCATTTTGAGATGCTTGTAAATTTTTCTAACACTTGGTTTTGATCTAGATTACCAGTATATTAGACCATAAGACCCAATTATCTGAAAATGAAAACATTATAAACTTGTCAAATTCACCCCAAAAATGCCAGCATTTTTAAATAACCCTCTTTTTCAATTATCAACAGTTGAATGTGTTATTGGAAACCAGTGCCCCTCTAATCTGCTTACTGGCTTATGTGAGGGTGCAATTAATTGTAAGTCATTTCTTAATAAAAAGAAAGATATTGTTGGTTGCCCTCTCCTTGATCTGATTTATATAGTAGATTGTATAAATAAAGGACCAGTAACTTTTTAGAGACCTTCATTATGGTTCAAATGAAAGTCTCTAAATTAATTAAGATATTTAAATACTAAATATCTAAACATCTAAATAAATTTTAAATTGAAAGGGTTATTTCTTTTAATTCTTTTTCATTATAGGTGATCTGTGGTTGTAATAGGTCCCAGACATTGGTGGGGGTGGCACTAATTTAAAGGGGAGGGGGCAACCAACTTACAAAGATACATGCTTTCATTTTTTTAAATGAAACATACATAATTCATTTTTTAATGAATATACAGTTAAGGCCATCAGAGCATTTTTTCATGCTTTTCCCATAAGATTTGAATTTTGGTAGTGACTACCATTAACTGTGCCAGATTTTCCAGTAAATATACTTATGGTCTTAACCAAAATTAATTAAATAAGTAAATGGCATTAACATAAGTTAGTTAAATAAGTTGGTCCCCCCTCTCTAGATCAGTGCCACAATCACCCTTTATCCCTCTTTGGGGGTGGGGTGGGGTTGGTACTAATTAAATCTAATTGGACTTGGATGGACAATGAATGTGATTTTTCTTGCTAATAAATAAGCTATATTTAGCAGTTACTATAAATTTCAATATGTACCTTAAGCAACAAAATCTTAATGCATCTATTTTTTTTTTAAGCAGTGTATATTATATATATATATATGATATATATATATATATATGATATATATATATATATATATATATATATATATATATATATATATATATATATATATATATATATATATATATATATATATATATATATATATATATATATATATATATATATCAACCCTTGGAATTAGGGTTAGCATTCGGCAATGCTAACCTAATTTCTGACATTGTGGTTGGCAAAAGATTCTTAACCTCATTTTTATGTTTTATTGTAAGACCTTTATACCAATTTTTTTTGCCGACCTCTATAAGATTGAGGTCGGCAATTTATTGCCAACCTTATTTTTCCTAATTCTGAGGGTATTTATATATATACATTATATATGTAATGTATTATATATATATATAATATATAAATATAACTTTCTTTTTTTTAAAAAAAATTTTTACATAGGACTTTTAAACTATACTTTATTATATTTTATTATTTCAATTTATTTTTTTCTAAAAATATATTTAGAACCATGTTATAAGTTTTATGGACAAAAGTTTTATTCAAAATGGAAATCGTTACACTACATTTTTTCGTGCTTCTGTTCGTCTCATAAACAGAGGTTTGTCAATTTTATTTTTTAAAACTCAACATTTTTCAGAAATTAAAAAAAAAATTCCAATTAGCCAAAACAATTTCAATTGAATTAATTTTTTTTTTCTACTTATAGTTAATAAACCTAAAATTGGACTTATTACAGATCCTGAGTTAGCCGCCCTTGCTGAACTAAATTTTCATGGTCAGATCTGCTCAAGCGGTTTTTTAAGAAACAGAAAGGTAAAGCTTTGTAAACTGTTTTTCAGCATATCATTTGTCTCTTTTAAAAAAAATATTTGAAACAATGTTTAACTTTTTATTTTTATTTAAACGTTTTTTTCAACATCAAAATGCAAATGTTGTACAACAAAAATGCAACAGAAGAGCATTAGATTTTGACCTTAAAACAAGTTTTTCATAGCAACTCTTTTTGATTTCTTATATTTTCTAATAGTAATTAACAACTTAAATAAATGCAACAATGTTTTACAACATTTGTATATAATATATGTTGTACAACATTGATATTTGTTTTGATAAAATATGTTTTTAAACACACCTACATAATAGTATAACAATATACAATACATAAACAAAACCAATTATTTACATAAACAAAATTTTCTTTTGCTGAATTTAAAAGTTAATTTAAAATTTAATTTTTCACATTTTTGAATTGTTTTTTTTTTTAATTTCATTATTACAAAAAAATTTTGCATTATTGATTTTATTTCAAATGAGTATTTTTCTAATTACCAACCAACTTTAAAATAAATTTATTTCAATGTTAACTTTTACTATTTTAGTTTCTTATAAATCTATTTTAGTGCTATCCATCAAGTGGAGTATATACAGTTGATGACATCGTTCATTGGGTATCTGTAAACATCAAACAGGTTTCATAATCATTGTAATGCATGCTAAGTTATTAGATTTATCACAAATGTTAAAAATTAAGTGATGGTGTTTATTTTTCAATGCTTTTTAAAATTAATTTTGATTTTAGTAAAATATTTTCTAATCTAAGGAGTTATGATAATTAATAACCGAAATTATTAATTTTACTATAAATTACATAAAGTTATACTTAAAAAGCGAAAAAATATTTTGAGCCTTTCTTTCACTCTCTTAAGTATTTAAAAATTAGTATATAATTGAAGACATTTTGTGTAGTTACATTTAACTTAGAAAGTTTTATACTGGTAAACATTTTTTATATATAAAATATTGGAAATTTAAAAAGAAAACATAAATATGCAGTTTTGAACAAACAAAATTTTATTTCAAGGGGTCTTTAGGTGGTAGGAAGAAATTTTTTACAATTTTTAATTTCTTTACTGATTTCTGTTTTAAAGGGATCCCTAAGTGCTATAAAGATATGATCTCATGATAGAGCATTAAAAAAAAAAATGTTTGATGTATATTATTTTTTCTAAAACGTAATAATGAACACACACTAACAAATTTAATTTTCAAAAAAACGCTTTTCTTCGATTAAAGAAAATGCGCCTTGTCCAAAGTTTATTGACTCTACTGCCTCAAAAAACTAACGTTAGTACGTCAAATTAAACAAAGTAGACAAAATGTCATTATTGCAAACTTATTAATTGGTAATTAAATTTAAAAGTAAAGTCGTTTTTTTTTTTCAACTAACACATAATTACTTACAAGAATAAGTTTTGTAGCATTTTGTGAAAATATCTTTGTATATTAAATTTTTTTTTATAATATTAATTTATATATTTGTGTTATAAGGGCAATTCCACGGCTAAAAATGAATAGAAGTCAAATTTTTAACTCTTTTTAGTCAATTAAAAACAAATGAATATTGACTTAGACATATGAAAGTTTATTTAAAATATTTCCTTGTAAAAAAATAAATTTATTTCAGTAATTTTTATGGTTTCAAAAGTGACGGTTACTCTCATTTTTGCTTGATAAAAAAAATAATGATTGTAAAATGTTTTAGTTAAATTAACATTTATATTAAATTGCTATATTTTTTTGGTTCAAATTGATAAGGTTGAATAGACATTTTATTAGAAATTAAACTAAGACAGGGCTCGAATTAACGCAAAAAAATCTAATCGCAAAAAAAAAATTTTTTTTTTTTTGCTCTCTCCCCTTCCCCCTCTCTCTTATAGCTCCCTCCCCCCCCCTCTCCCCTCTTTTTTATAGCTCGCGCCGATGTGCGGTAATGGGGGGGAAAAATATCGTCAATCAAAAAACATCGTCAAAAATTTAATAAAAAATTAGATACCACGTTTTTTATAATTTATTGTTTCTTGAATAAAGGACTAATAAAAGTTTAAATATAATTAAGTTTTTCATTTAAATGGTTGATGTTTTATTCAATTTTTCTATTTCAAGTTTTCCAATAAAAGATAAAACAAAAAAGTTTGGTTTAATAAATCGAATTATAGTTCATGTTTAAAATAAAGCTTAAAAACGTTAAAGTAAAAAAATTGCTGGTTTTTATTAGCATTTTTATACTGTTTGAAAAAAAAAAACTAATAAAAAGAATTAACTAATAATATATTAATTCTTTTTTATTAGTTTTTTTTTTCAAACAGTATAAAAATGCAAATAAAAGTCAGTAAATTTTTTGCTCTAACGTTTTTAAGCATTAATTTAAACATGAAGTTTTGATAAACAAAGATAAAAACCAACTTTTCAACTTTTCGCTTTAACGACCTTGTAAAAACTTTTCCACGCAGAGATTTAATGTAATTTAAATTCAAAAATGTTTTACGTTGAAAGAAAATCTCCGCGCGAAAGAGCAAATTATCTATTCAGAATAAAAAATTTTGTGTGACGTTCTTTATGATAAAAATATTACTTTGAAGAATCGCTAAAAAAAATGCTAAGCTAGAAAAAAGTAATTGATCAACCAAAAAAAAAAACTAGTCGCGAAAAGATTTTTTTTAAGATAAAACTAATCACAAAAGTGTGTGTAGCAATCGCGATTGCTATACGCTTAATACGAGCCCTGTAAGACTTTTTTATAAGTTCTAAACTATTTAAAACTATTACTTAATAACTTTTTTTAACGACGTCTTTCAACCGAATGCTATTATACTGTTTTTGCCAAACTAATTTAAAAAACTTGATTAAAACTTAACTATTTAATCACAACTTTTTTTTACTTGAAAATCGAAGTAGATATTCTAAAGTTGTTGTGATGTACTAACGTGATTTTTAACGACTAACAATCGCGTTTCAATGGTGAAAAAATAAAATCAAAATGGAGTTGTTTTTTAGTGATTTCGGCAATTGCTTTTTGTTAGTATGCATTTATTATTACAATTTAGGGAAAAAGAAAAAAAACTTACATATTTTTTTTTTATGCTCTTTCATATGAGATCATATGTTAGGAGCACTTAGGGATCCCTTTAAATTATATTTTTGTTTCTTTAAAATATTGTTCTGTTTCATTGTGCAACATGCACGCAACAGAATGTGTCATGCTTTTATTTTACTAAGTTCAAACCCAACAAAGCAACCACTGCTCATGTTGCAAATTTATAGGAAGTTCCTAGTTGATGTGTTGCAAATATCTAGAAAGTTTTTTGTTGATGAGTTTGTTTGGGTTAAATTTCACCATTAGCATAATGATTACATTCAAGTATATCAAAAACTTTTACCTCACTGCTTTCGTCTTCTTTGCCTCACTGCTTTTATATTATTTGCCTCACTATTTTCATCTTCTTTTCTTCACTGATTTCATCTTCTTTGCCTCGTTACTGTTATCTTCTTGCCTCACTGCTTTCATCTTCTTTTCCTCACTGCTTTTATCATTTTTGCTTCACTGCTTTCATCTTCTTTGCTTCACCTAATGCACAAAAAAATCTTCCTGCAGTTAACAAATCCTAAAACGAGAGGATTAAAACCTTGATTGATTGATTATCAAAAGTTGAGATATTAAGTTAAGATATTAAGGTTTGTTAATTAATAACTTGAAGACTGCTGGGTTATTCCATATCAAATCACCTAGTTTTTTGAAATTCCATATCAAATCACCTAGTTTTTTGAAATTCCATATCAAATCACCTAGTTTTTTGAAATTCCATATCAAATCACCTAGTTTTTTGAAAGGTCCCCAGGGTACCATCTCAGATTTGCTTTAACCTTTGACCATACACAGATCTTATGAAAAAAATACAATCCAGAAAATTTCAGCTTGATTGACCAATTTGTTCAAAAGTAATGATTGAATTGAAAATGACCAAAATCCAAAAAATTTGTGTATTGTACAGGAGCTTACAGCAGTTTTTTTCGATTTTTCGACAAACCATAACTTTTAAATAAAGATGGTGATCACCTGAAAATTTGTAGGATAATAGTTTTCATCCAAATAATCCATTATTGCAGTTATTTTTGACTGATTTTTTACAGTTTTTGAGTTATTGTACCTTAAAGTTGCTAAATATTGCAACATTATAAATATTTTTTCGAACTTTAACGTGTTACAGTTTCATACTTAATTACAGAAAGTGGATTTTTCTGTTACCTTTTTGTACTTAGGGTCACCACTTGTTAGAATAATCAAAATTATGCATTAAAAATTAATTTAGCACATGCAGCAGCCTATTGAAAAATCACATTTTTTAAAAATTATGATAAATTACATCGACTTTGCTGGCATAGAAAGTAGCGTAAACAGTTGAAACAAATTATAAAACTTTTTAATGTTGAGGTTCTATATATAGACAATCACCAAAAAAAAATTAAAGACCTATACTCTATCTTATGACATGATTGTCATAAGATAGAGTATAGGTCCAGTATAATTTCCAGACGTCTCTAGAACCTATTTTCTGAGATGAAATTTGAGATTTAGTCCAATTGACTTGATTCAGATCTGGTAATAATTGACCTTAATATTATATCTTAATGCACTGATATAAAGATATCTGATTTCAGGAGAGATAAAGTAATTTCAAGAGACAAAAACAGTAATATTTGTAATTTATTTAATTTCACAAGATTTTCATATTCAAGTGAAAATAAGATGAAATGATTTTTAAATAACAGAGAGGCAAAAAACATCAGCCCAAAGACCATCAGCCCAAGGACCATCAAGAAGAAACACACTAATAAAATTACAAAGAAAGACACAAAGATCACAAATAAGACTGTTAATTCTAGTTTAAAGATAGTTGTAAAAAGATTATACAATCTGATGTAGAAGAATTTGTTAAAAGATTTGCAAAGTAAATAGAAAGTGTGATCATACGATCTGTAGAAGTTTTTAAAAGAATTGAAAAGTAAATAAAAGTGTGGTCATACGATCTGATGTAGAAGAAGTTTTTAAAAGAATTGAAAAGTAAATAGAAAGTGTGATCATACGATCTGTAGAAGTTTTTAAAAGAATTGAAAAGTAAATAAAAGTGTGGTCATACCATCTGATGTAGAAGAAGTTTTTAAAAGAATTGAAAAGTAAATAGAAAGTGTGATCATACGATCTGTAGAAGTTTTTAAAAGAATTGAAAAGTAAATAAAAGTGTGGTCATACGATCTGATGTAGAAGAAGTTTTTAAAAGAATTGAAAAGTAAATAGAAAGTGTGATCATACGATCTGTAGAAGTTTTTAAAAGAATTGAAAAGTAAATAGAAAGTGGTCATACGATCTGATGTAGAAGAAGTTTTTAAAAGATTTGCAAAGTAAGAGATTGATTTATGTGGTTTTGATAATAAAAACTGAAAGTACTAACTGAGACATTATTCATGTGCATCACAGCACTGGTGATACTCCTATATTTGATAACTGTTAATGAAATCAGCTTTTTTGAAAAGAGCCACAAAATTCAAGAAAACCATTCTACAGGTTTTCCCCTTATTAGGAGGAAAGAAAAAAAGAGTTGTATAAACATTACCAGAGACACTAGCAAAAATTCAAGAGTCAATTCAAGAAGATCCAGGGTGTATCATTCTTGGAAGGAATCAGTGTAACATAAATTTACATCTACGCTAGCCAATTGGATGAAGAAGTGGTGTAAAGTAACACATACATTCTGCTGACCTCTTCTTGTTTACTGCTATTTTTATGCTTTTGTTAAATATTTCAAAATTGTGTTAATGTTTAAAATTATTTCTTAGGTTGTTTCAGAGTTGACTCCAAATGCAACAGATGCAAGTCACTACCTAGATTTACTAAAACAAACACCTATTGCTCTTCTGGCTTATTCCAATGGAAATTTATCCGCTCAGGTATTTAATGATTTGTTTTGCGTGTTTGTTTGTTTTTTTTCTGTTTTTTTGTTTAAGTTAAAATTCAAATTTGAAGGTAAATTTAATAAATTTGTAAAGAAGCATGATTTAAATAAAAAATTTTCTTTTAGTTTAAGGATGTTGCATCAACATATTATAACTGTTCCTGTCCTTTAAAAAAAAGATATCTTCGCAAAAATAATTTCTCATGCAAGTACAATATTTGCAAAACATTTTTGAGTCAAGGAAATATATGTACACACTGCCAGTTTTGTTATGGAGTTTGTAAATGCAATTTGTTTATGTCATATCACATTCCAGTTCTTCAGGATTCTAGAAATTGCTTATCATATCGTATTTCTTCATATTTTTTTCTAGACTCTTATTCAGTATGTTGTTTTAAGTTGTCAGATAATGACTTGTTAAGCTATACTGCTACTAAACCAAATGACAATTATTCTCAAAAAGAGTTTTCAATAACTTTTGTTAAGAAATTGCAAAATTTAAATTTGCAGCAGGCTGCATTTAAATTACATTTAGAAGCTGTTTATAAAAAAAAAATTAAAAACTTCAAGAAACATCATTTGAAAAACTACAACAAACATATAAAAAGTTGGAAATGTGGTTCTGCTGCGCCCTGTTGCAATTTTAAAAATAGTTCTTCTTTAGCAAAATCATTTAGAGGACTTGCATGTAATACCAATAGAACACTTAGTTTTTATACAATGAACTATGATAAATATAAGTTTATTCTGAACAATGTTGGTATACACCATACACCCAGTTTGCTAATTCTTGATGTGTTGTTAGAAGAAAGCTTTGTATCCACTAATCTTTCATACAATGTTATTGGTAAATTGTTGTTTTTATTTAAAATAGCTAAATTTTTTATTTAATTTTATTTAAAAATATTTCTTTAGTGCAGAGATTACATAAAAAATGTTTTTTTTTTTGTTATCAGTTGACTCAATTATGAATTTTACAAATGGCCGACTTCAACAAGATTTTAAAAGCTTAGATCCAGAGAAAGAAAAATTACTTCAGTCTGGAAGAGTTACTGAGTTATTTTCTGATTCATTTGAAAAATTTATTCTGCAAAGTACCAAGGTATAGTAAAATAGTTTTTTATTTATCTAGATCATAACCAGTTTATAACTGTTTATACATATAGATAATATTATAGACATTTTTTTAATTATCAGACATTTTAAATAAAAATTAGATTGACCTTGTTTAAATGATTTATCATTTAAACTGCATTAATAACTTTAATAGTATATAACGGGCGTTCACTTGAAATCTGGGATAACAAGAAGTGGTCATAACACCATTGAAATAATATATTTATTAATACAAAACTAAATATTTTTCACTTCTAATAACAAGATTGTTATTAACATTAAACAACTATAATTATTATAACTAGCAAAAAGCAACCCGTAATACGTGTTTTGGTCGGTCTGTTACATAATTAATTTATAGTGGCTGTTTTCCACAATTTAATGTTGCAAAACCTTAACTAATACCCTTTTAGAAAATCGCCTTCAGCTTGAAAAAAATAATCCATCTGTAAAATTAACATAAAAAGTATGAGGTAAAAAAATTTACCAACTACTACTTAACATTTACAATTACTACCTAACATTATTTAAGTAATTTACAAATGGCATAAGTCATAACAGTGTAACGCAGAACCATTTTCATCGACCTTCCTAAGTTTAACACAATACGTTTTTAGTTACTGACACAAAATAATAACACTTCGTCATGCTTTAAATTGACGAAAGTGTTAACTAAATCCTTGTAATAATTTTTATAACACGAACCATTAAGATTAAAATCAAGTTAACTTATATTATACCGAGTTATCAATTTTTTGGTATCCCCTTGATTAATTGTTAGAAAAGAAAATTGTTAACTTAAAAATGTTAAATGCACACATTTAAATAAATTTATAAAAAATAACAAAGTTTATTATAAATAACTACGCAACTGAGTACAAATACCTTTCAAAGAAAAAAAATTTAATTAACGATCAAACATGGGTATAACAAATTTTTTAATGCATTAATGCATCATATGACAAACCTAAAACAAAAATTATAAGAGATAAGTAGACATAAAAATTTGTAACCCACGCTGATCCGACCCGGGTCTTGTTAAGTCTGTTCAACACAGACCATTTCTATATTATTTGTTTGTCCTCTTTATTTCATTAATTTTTAGTAAACGGTAATTTGCCACCATTTACTAAAAATTCCTTTTGTTACTCGAAATTTAATTTTCCTAAATATTTTGACTCTAATAAAGAGGTTCCTTCCCTCTTTTTGCTTTAATGGTGGCCAGGTGAATAAAATAAAATAATAAAATGTAAAACAATGATCTACATATATAAGAACGTTTTCTTTCTTTCCTCAAAAGTGTTGCAAATACAGACTAAGCTAACTAATTAGTTAAACACATAAATAAAACTTTAGCAACTCGATATCAATGCGCAAAACTACAATATTCTCCATATTTTTAAAGGTTTTTAGTTATGACCCCCCATTTACAAAGATCCCCTTAAAATACGTACAACAAATTATTAGGCATAAAATAGATAAAATATAAAATTAACTAATAGCATATATTTATATCTTTTTAACTAACAAAAATTTACAATAAAAAGAAATCAGGTTATTTTATTTTATAAATCTTATAAATGCGTCATAACTTAGTTCTAAAATAAAAAAGTAATGAAATTATGATATCATAATTACAAAAAAAAACAAAAAAAAACACCACATTATTACCAAAAATCGATTTACCTGTTTATAGTAACCTATTTTGAAATAGCAGTTAAAGATTTATCAAAAATGTAACTATAAAACCTGTTTCGAAGTACATAAGCAATACTAAAAGTACTTAAGCAATACTATAAAAAAATCAAACTAAGATATAAATTGATGTTTTGGCTTTTATAATTTAAACATATATACAACTTTAAACAAATAGGATTTTATGTAACATGTATAAACACATTTTACAACTATTGAATGATAGATATATTTACCAAAAACAATGAAAAAAAAATAATGATAAATAAAGTTATACATACAAAATGTGCTCACAACCTTTAACAATAAACTTTCGAAACGAAAATATAAAGACTATAAATTAAGAACATTAAAAAATATAACAATATTTATGTTACATTTTTTTACCTACTATACCTTGAATAAGATGTTTGTCAATTCTGAAAAACAAACTATTAAATGCTATAGTTCTTGAAAATGCAGCATATAGTTGACCATTAGAGAAACACGGTTTTTGAGATATTTCTTTATGTTTAATTTTGCGTTACGTAATATATAGACGATCCCTAAGAGAAAATACTTGAAACTAAAAAGATTTTATTTATTACAATATTTGAACAACCAAGGGACAATTTAAAGAATTATATCTTTAAATAGCAAATTATCAATCGCACTATTAAAAAATACGCAAGGGCTTAGTAATTACAGAGTTTAATCAAAGCTCAGTAATTACAGAGTTTAATCAATTCTCCCTCTACAATTCTCAATACTAATCTTATTTAAGTCTCATCAAAGAGAGACAGGAAGTGTTTTAAAAACAGCATGTTAGAAAAAGTAAAAAAGTCATGAAATAAATAACAGTAACTGGTTTTATTATGCTACCAATAAACAAAATTATTTTTACCTTAACTAAAAGTTAATTTCCAGCATTTCTTAAATAAGTTCCAGCTTCTCTCTAACTGTTGACAAATGATTAATATTGTAAATTTCACATCATTTTAAATTTACAAAATTAAAACCATGTTTCAACAGTAAGCAAAATAATCAAGTGATGACAAAGACAACTAAAAAAAAATGAACACAATTATGTTTAAGATAACAAAAAAAAAAAAAATCATTTAAAATTGAAACTGTTATTATTTGTTACTATAAATAGTAAAATTCATACTTTGCTTTATTTTAAAGTGTCTAATGTAAAGTCAAATAATAGACATCAACACCGCTTGACACTGAATTCTGTCAAGTAAGTTTTCGGTTCATCAAGCAAAATTTCTTCAATTTCAACGACAAATAATTGTATTACACCTAGATCTATTTCTTTCATATGACAACAATTTCAAGTCACCTATAACCATTTACACTAATAACTTCTTCGAGCCTAATATTATACATCTGTTATCATTAAATGATAACAGATTACCAGTGATTATACTACTGTTACAACTGAATAAATGAACTTTTTATATTTTTACAACTGAAAAATATAAAACAAAATTTATTTACATTATTTTAATTTAGCAAAGAATTTAGAACACAATGCAAAGTTATTTGCATTGTGTTCTAAATTCTTTGCTAAATTAAGAAAGCCTTCAGGCACAATCTTAATGCACAAAAATAATAAATGCAGAATCTTGTATAAAAAATAAAGCAATGTCAGTCTAAAGTAATATATATATATATATATATATATATATATATATATATATATATATATATATATATATATATATATATATATATATATATATATATATATATATATATGTATATATATTCAAACTTTTTCTATTCTTAATTTTTTCTTTGAGATAATATTCCTATAGATTCAGAGAAACATAAAATATTTTGATATATAGGCACATTTATGTATATAAACTTACCTGTCAAAAATTACAGTAAGTTTTCCATGTTAAATACATAAAATATATATCTAATATAAAATTAAACAAAACATTAAACTTACTTAAATCAGTAACAGTTCGACTGTCTAAATATTTTTATTATTAACCCTTCTATTTAAAAAAAAGAAACAAATGATTTAAAGTGACTAAAAGCACTTTAGCTCTTTCCAATTGCACTATAAAGTAAAATAAATCTTGTTTTGCTAAGTTGCCTAGTTCTTAAGAATCTGAAAATAAATAAGTAAAAAACCAAGAACAAACAAACATTTATTTACTAAAACTACTCTATTTAAACAAATTAAATTAAACAGAGAACAACATTAATACTCCTTGAAAACTGAAAAACTTTTCATCTCAAATTTGCTTGTAGACCTTGCTTATAAAACCACTTGAATAAGAAAAGCATCAAAAAAGCCTAGAAGCTACTTAAAAATGGTATATGCAACAATGAACTTTAAATGTTGATTGGAGTAGATATTTTTAAAAAATTCAAAATGATTTGTTCTTCTATAGCAAATAAGTACACCATAAATCTGAAGTTAAAAATGTAACGAATAAGTAAATACAAAGAAAAACATCATATGTGAATTGAAAATCAATGTACCTGATAGAGATAAGCTGTGGTGATACCTGAGTAGTTGTTGCTAAATATTGTTTTTTTATGATAAACAAATTGTATTTCTAGCGAAATGATGTCTTGAATGAATTTCAGTAAATAAATAAAAGCAGTGAGTTCTAATAATGAAACTACTTATTAATCATTTTTAACAGCTGACACCAACGTAAAGATAAACCAAAGGTAACAACATTACGCGAAAAATTATTAAAGATAAAGCAATGTGTTTTCAGAATAGTTATATTAGAGTCTAGGCAACACTTAGACCTAAAGCAGTAACATCGCTTGACTGGTAAGGTTGATAAATCTTGCTCTACACGTTTGCCAAGTCACTTCACTTTGAAATCATGGAAACAACATTATATAAACATATATACTAATTATAAAACACAATATATTTTTTTAATGTTACTTAGCATATAAAAACACCCCATTTAACAATCTTGCAGAAATTAGATATAATACATTTCATACTATTATAAAATCACATTTATAAAACAACTATATAACATATATCACCACATACACGTATTTATCAAAAAATTTTTAACTTTGATCATAATATACATGCAAACATATATGCAAACTTTTAACAACTATAAAACATTTATTAGCATCAATTATTTTATATGTAACAAAGAATGCAGACTACAATGCACGACATTGTTAATAAAAATGAAGTTTTGTCAGTCAGTATTTATCTAAAGTAATGAAAAAGAATGAACCATTTAAAAACAAAATTAAAAATTTCTAATGAATATATATTTAGATACCTTAAAATGAAGCATAACACAACACTCTTTTGACAAATTACAGAGAAAATTTTCTAAATTTTTCTATTCCTTATATTTTTCCTTAGAGAAAATATACATATAGATATAAAATATAAAATAGACTGAAATAAATCCAAACTTATGTATATAAACTTACATGACCACAAATAACAGTCTTATTTTATTTAACTTTTTATATTAAATACATAAATAAAATTTTATTCTTATTACTCTTTCTATATAAAAAAATTTTAGCCTATGTATGAGAAAATAAAGTAAACTTACTAAAAAAGCGATTATTTTGTCTTAACTGCTCTAAAAAATAAAGCAAATACTTGCTTAAAATGTTTTAAAAAGACTAATGACAAAACTGAAATAGTTTTCTTAAAAAAGAAACATTGTACTAATAAAACTATTTTACCAGTCAATTTAGTTCTAACTTCTTCTAAAAAAATGAAAAATAAATACATATTTAGATACCTTAAAATGAAGCATAACACAACAATCTGTTGACAATTTCCAGAAGAATTTTTTTTTATTTTTCTTTTCTCAATAACTTTTGCTAAGAGAAAATATACATATAGTATAGATATAGAGAAATATAAAATAGACTAAAATAAACGCAAACTTATGTATATAACATGAACACAATTAAGTCTTATTTTATTTTTCATATTAAATACATAAATAAAACTCTATTTTATATATAACTCTTTTTGCAAAAAACAAATTTTATCTATAAATAAGAAATCGAATTGAACTTACTAAAAAAACCATCAGCTTCTCTCAACTGCTCTTAAAAAACAAAACAATACTTGCTTAAAATGTTCGAAAAAGACTAATGACAAAATGAAACAGTTTACTAAAAGAAACATTTTACAAAAATAACTATTTTACCAAACATTTTAGTTCTAACTTCTTCTAAAAATTAAAAACAGGCTATAAAAATTAGAAAAAATAAAAATAAGCAACAACAAACTAACAATGATTTAAATTATTATTTTAAACAACATCAATTCTTTTTGAAAATAAGTGTATCAGCTCCAATTCGCTTGCTGATTTTACTCGAAAGCCGCGTGGAATATATAACTGCACTTAAAAAAGTCTAGAAACAACTTCAAAACTAAGAAATAGTTTATTTTACATAATGCAGAACCGTAATTAACAAAACGAACAATATGCGTAACAATGCGTAACTATGCGCACTAATAATATTCATAGGCTATTCATTATAGGCGGATTAATCCCATAACATTTATTTTATATACTTGTTTAAAATGTCAAAAAAATGAAAACATTTTAAACTTGTACAATATGAACTGAAAGTTCATTTTGTACAAGTTATGTACAATATGAACTTTCAATTCACCATCAAAAAATCGATTAAAGCAAATATTAAAAAAATATAATATCTAATGACTCAAATTATTACATTTAATTTAACATCTGATCATCATGACCCATGTGATGACTTATGACGATTTATGACTCTATCTTATACATACTTATAAAAATAAAATTATTTATAAAATAATCTTATACAAACATATAAAATTTTACTTATAAAAATAAAATTATAAAACAATCAATGTTTTAAAATGTGTTATGTTTTAGAATGTGTTATGTTTTAGAATGTGTTTGTTATGTTTTATGCAGCATGGTGTGCTATATGTAAAACTGTTAACCTGCAATTTTTAAAGCTTGCTCACACTTACAAAAGATCAGATATTGTTTTTGCAAGGTAATAGTGCATGTAATTTTTAGTTTAGACATGTTTAAAATTTTTTTGCATAATGAAGAACCTTTTAATTTTTAGAATTGATGGAGATAAAAATCCTCTTCCATGGCATTATACATCAAGTCGCTATCCATCATTTATACTCTTTCCACAACATAGGTCATTATTTTTTTGTATTATATTTGTATTTATATCTGGAATTACACGAGCTAAGATCAAAGACAGATTAAAGAGTTTAATAAGTCGACAGACTGCTTTCTTAGTTCATCCTAATTTATTACAGTGTTATCAAATATTTATTTCCTTTGTTGTTTTTTTTGCGTAAAAGCATGCTATTTAAAAGGGAGAGTTGTTTTTCTTTTTTAAGTTCTTTGATACAAGTGTTGGCTAAGCAAATGCTCTACAAGAATATTTGCACCTAAATTATCATTGATATTCTTGTCAAACTAATTTTGGGGATACACACACACACAAACACACACACACACAAACTTCTTGTGTATCTAAAATATTTTAACTTTTGTTTTTAGAAAAGCTGACTCAATACATTATGGCGATGATTTGGATTTTTCATCACAAAATTTTGTAATGTTTTTAGAAAAATATTTGAATTAAATATAATTTATGACATATGTTTGTTTTTAATGTATTTTGTCCTCTTTTGGCTCAACTATTTCAACCTTTTCTTTTCAACTAAAAAAAAAAGAATTTTTTATAGTTTGTTCAAAGTATTAAAAATAAAAATCTATAGTTTCATATTTACCATGCAGCACTGTTTCTGCAATACCATGAAGCACTGTTTCTGCAATAATACATCCACATAACAAAAAGAAATAAAACTCTTGTATAATAATATTATTGAAATAAAATCCAAGTTCATAATAAACCTGTCTTTTTAAAAATTATTTAAACCCTTAAAAAAGTTTTTTTTATCAAAGGTATAATAATTATACAACAAAATTGCATAAATTGTGCAATTAATTGCATGAATAAAAAATTTAGGTAGAAAAGAGGCATATAACACCAGTTTGTGTTTATCAGAAAAAAGAGAATAAGGAAATTTGTTAGTTATTAATTGTTATCATTACATATTTGCTATTATTGCAAGTAGTGAAGTATTTTAAGAGTAGTTAATGCAATTAAATATTATAGCGTCTGTATGATATTTTGTTGACTACCACATACTTCCGGTAAATGATAAGGTCTGTGAATTATGAAAATTTTGTGGTATCATAAAATGTAAATGTTTGTAGTGAAAAAACCCAGACCAAAATTTTTTTTTTTAAAAAAAAATCTTTTTAAAATCACAATTGCTTGTCCAAATTTGAATAAGGTTTTAAATAAATAAAAGCTCTTGTTTGGACATAATACGCTGATAAAATCATGCTTATTTCAAATAAAAAAATTCAAATAATTGTTTTAACTACATCAAGGAGAGGGCACATGTCATATTTGATAAAATTTCTATACAAGATATATATATATGTGTGTGTGTGTGTGTGTGTGTATGTGTGTTTGTATGTATGTATCAGCCCTCGGAATTTAGCAACTTCAACCTAACAGCCAACCTCTTTCAGCATTTAGCAATTTCAACCTAACAGCCAACCTCTTTTCCATATTTTATGGTTAGCCCTTTGTGTCAAATTATTTTTGCCGACCTGATGCTAATCTCTAACAGTTTGAGGTTGGCAATTATTTTCCTTATTTTACCCTGGGCTTGACAGTTTGGTCTAGCCCTTTAATGCATATTTTTGCATTTTTTTTTTTAAATTTACATATTTGCTATTATTGCAAATATATAGTTAACTATTTAAATAATGGGCACATGTCAAGTTTTTGATGAAATAGATAGCATCGGCTGTCTTCTTGTATCAAAATCTCTTCACCAGTGGCATGCACCCCTTTTTAATGGAAAAGTAAACTATTAATTGTAAAATTATGTTTTATAGGTTCCAATAGCTTTTACATATTGTTTACTTATTGTGGCACTATATAGTACATATTATTTATGTAGCATAGGATTTTTCCAAGTTACAGGATTTTTCCAAGCTACAGCTTGACAACTTTTTAAAAGACTGCATTGGCATTAAAATAGATTCTTTCGAGTATTTTTCAGTTCTAACTAACTTGTAATATAATTATGTATTGTATAATTATCTATTTTCATTTTAACATAATTATATTTTCTTTTTATTACTTTTATATAATTATCATTTAAGCATAATTATGCAGAAAAATAATTGTAAGATAATTCAGAAATATGTGCTTAAATGTTCATTTATTGTTTATCATATTGCAAAAAGTTTTTAAAAATTTCTTTAGGTCCTATCTTTAGTTTGGTTAAGTATCTTAAGATTTAAAAAATCTTTAATTTTGTAATTTAATTAATTTTTTTTTTTATTATTTGATTTTATAGCTTTTCTTTATATAATATATGCTATGAGGAGTGTTTGATGATAAAGGTTGTTATAAATTACACATATGATCCTGTTTGTAAAGATTACTCGTTGGTCATGGAGACCAGTTCAATACTTTTTAAATAAACGTAATGCACACGAAAGCAAAAGTGCAACACTTTACATACATGTAAGTAATATAAAATCATATAGTTCATAAATAAATATTGTTTTTGTTAATTAATTAATGTATATGTGTGTGTGTTTGTGTGTATATACTCTGCTGAGTTATCTTGTGTGTATATCTTATACTGCTGAGTTAAGTGAGCAGTGTGATGTTATACTGAAATAGCCTGCTGCTGGGGGCTTCAATACATACATCGACTGACAAAAAGCCTGACTCGCAGTGGAATGCTATAGTGTGTGTATATATATATATATATATATATATATATATATATATATATATATATATATATATATATATATATATATATATATATATATATATATATATATATATATATATGTATATATATATATATATATATTTATATATATATATATATATATATATAAATATATATATAAATATATATATATATATATATATATATATATATATATATATATATATATATATATATATATATATATATATATATATATATATATATATATATATATATATATATATATATAGTGAAAAAATCATCTAGGTTGGCTAAAAAAGTAGCTAAATGTATATCTATGCACACTATAGCACAAATTAAACCTGATTAAATAGTGCAATATATATATATTTGTATATATATATATTTGTATATATATATATATGTATATATATATATATATATATATATATATATATATGTATATATATAAATATTTATATATATATATATATATATATATATATATAAATATATATATATATATATATATATATATATATATATATATATATATATATATATATATATATATATATATATATATATAGTGAAAAAATCATCTAGGTTGGCTAAAAAAGTAGCTAAATGTATATCTATGCACACTATAGCACAAATTAAACCTGATTAAATAGTGCAATATATATATATTTGTATAAATATATATATATATATATATATATATATATATATATATATATATATATATATATATATATATATATATATATATATAGTGCAGATTAAATTGTGCTTTTTAAGCCTTCTATAATTCAACTGTATAACTGCTACATCTAAGACATCAATAACATTTTTTTAAATTTCTTAACTCCTGATCTGATTTTAGGCAATATCAGCTTCTGATAATATGACATAATTAACCTGCATTCTTTGTACTCCTCCCAAAATAACCTAGGTAATAACTTCATACCAACTTTCCACAATTTTAATAAACAAAAATTCAAGATATCACTACTGCAGAATGGCAAATAAAAATCAAAAATGATGTCAATGAATTTCTGAATTTTTCTTAAAAACTTTCAACAAAATTCTGGCTCAATACGAGCCAAAATTTTGTTGAAAGTTTTTAAGAAAACTTTCAACAAAATTCTTTTCCATTGTTGATATTTTTAGTTAAATGTGAATGTATAAATCAAGTTTCTGTGAAAAAGGTTGTAATAGAGAGAAGTAAATTTTTATTAAGGGAATCAAAAACAAAAAGAAAATTAGCAAATGTAAAAGTGCTGACTAGGTAGGAATTTTAAGTTTTTGAAGAAGTTTGAAGTTTCTGTATTATAGAGTTGAAAATTTATTATGCGGATTGATTGATACTGAGCCAATAAAAATTTATTAATATTACAGTTGTCAATTTGTCCTTAAACTTGACAACAGTAATTGAGATGAGACTGAAATTGTAAAATACATACTCTTAAGGCTAGCTTTATCAACCTAATCGCAAATTATTGAAAGCATGTCATTAGCTCAATTAAGTTTTTTGCTGAGTTTATCTATATGAAAATTCCATGAGAAGTTCGAATCTTTAAAAACACCAAGATATTTAACAAAGTGTGTTGGATATAAACGTCTATTATTTATTTTAATTTTAGTGCAAATTTTAAAGTATAAATGGCAAATAAAAAAAAACCTTATAATAACACCCAAATTAACCTGGTCAATAATTAAACAAGTCCCCCCCTTCAGCAATGTAACAAAAAAATGCTTGCTTTGCCTTCATGAAAAACTTTGCATAATATCATACAAAGGTACGGAAGAATTATTAAATAAAAAAATAGAAATAATATCTAAGTGCCGTCATGAAAACAAGTTCTTGCTTGACAACCACAAGCCTAAAGATTAAAAAACCAAACCACGCTTGCAAATAATAACATTTTATAATTGTTTTTGAACGTCACGGTGTTATTATATAGTATATTTTATAACGTAAAAAACAATGTATTTTTTACCTGATGATTGCTAAACGCATGAAACTTTTAGTAGTAAAAATTATGTAGTTATTTTTTTAATCTTGTCAAAAAATCAATTATATAGCTCTGATATCATTTAAAATGTCACCCTCTATCTCAGATTTTTCTAATTTTTATACAGTTAAGAGTAAAATAAGAGTTCCTTAAAAATTTTAGTCTCTGGCTCCAAGAAGATCCTGAAATATGACCATTATACTTTTAACAGATGTTGGAATTAATTTTAAGTACCTGTATTTATCAATTTAAATAGATTTAGGCAAATTTTAATATACCTGATTTTAATGCTCAAAAAACCTATGTGGCCTGGATAATATCAAAAAAATTTATTACACATCATTCACAGGGTCCCCACTTTTTTTGTAGCGGTGTATTGCATATAATTTTTCACTAACTTCCAGACTAGCTAAAACTCTGAAACTTTTGGCATTTTTGTAATGCGAATGAACATGTATGTTAAAGTTGTTTTTAGGGCTGTAGACATTAGAGGGGGCCTGGGTCATGGACCCCATTTTTTTGTAGTGGAATCTTGTGACAGATTTTTCACTACTTTCCAGAAAAACTGGAGCTATGAAAATTTCAGCACTTGTGTTTGGGCAGATGACCAAAGAGCCGGGGCACTGGGCAAGATGCCCCACTTTTCTCAAAAAAATTTTTTTTTTGCATTTTTAATAAAGTAAAAATAACTTTGAAAATATTGTTTTTAAAAAATTTTTTTGGTTTAAATTTGTTCCATTCCGTTTTTAAACATTCTGTATTCAATGATCTTTCTCAAAATGTTTTAAGGAAGCAGATATGTCTATAAGATTTTTGATTTGCTAGTATATGAATTAAAAACATTCATCCATCTAAAATAATGATTTGAACAGAATTTTAAATTGTATAATTTAAAACATTTTGAATTAAAAAGAAAATAGACAAAACAACATTGATCTGTCAAAGAACAACAATTGAATAATACAAATTGATGTTATCAGAGGCAATAAACAGATTAACAGTTCATTCCTACATTGCAAAATGTTAAGCAAGATAACTTAGGCAACAAAAAGAAAAGTTGGCAAAAGACTGCCATATTATTTTAGGTAATTTTGCAGAAAACAACACATTTGTGATTCAAGATTAATTCTAAAGTTAGCATTGGTGTCAAAGTCAATGCAAGTTACACTCGATTTATTAAATAAAAACAAAACAAAAAACTTTCTGATAAAATACGTGGGGCATGGCCCCAGTGCCCAGGGCCATGGAGCCACTGGTTGCCTGCCCTGGAAACAATTTAAACACACGTTTATCAGAACTACACAAATGCTGAAAGTTTCAGAGCTTCAGTTTGTCTGGAAAGTAGTAAAAAATCCATCTCAAGATTCCATTACAAAAAAGTGAGCACTTACCCCAGTGCCACCTAATAACTTGGGTCCTGAAAACAGTTTAACCATGCACATTTATTGGCACTACAGAAATGACAAAATTTTCAGAGTTCTAGCTAGTCTGGAAGGTAGTAAAAAATCAATTGCAATATTATGCTACAAAGAAGTGGGGACCCTGTGCCCCATTATCTATGTATGGAAATCCATATACTATATATAAAGGAAAAAAAAAAGAGAGTATGGCCAACGAGTTCGTGAAGTCGAACATGGCAGTTTGACACCACTAGTGTTTGGTACAAATGGAGGTATGGGTAAAGAATGTCATCGGTTTGTTAGAAGGCTAGCAGAGAAACTAGCGGAAAAACAAAATGAAAAATACTCAATTGTTATGACGTGGTTAAGAACAAAGTTATCTTTTGAGATACTTCGCTCAACTATCCTTTGTTGATTTTGAAATCTGTGTTGATTTTTAAGATGGGTGCTCTAGAAGCAAGAATCTGAGGTTCTATAAATTTATATTATAGCATTTTGTTTTACATATAACTAATATTTGATGAATCCATATACTTGCAGATCAAAAACTATATATTTTTTGAAAGATCATTGAATATAGAATAATGTGTAATACTTTTTTTTTGTTGATATTATCAAAAAAAAAAGAATTACGCATTATTCTAAATTCTTAAGCATTAAAAATAGGTATATGAAAAATTGCCTAAATTTATTTAAATTGATAATAACAGGTTCTTAACAATAATTTTTTACACTTCTGATCATTTCATAGGATTTATTATGCCCAAAAATAGCCAGTTATAAATTTTTAAGTAAAAAAATCAAATATTTTTAAAGTTATGTGACTTAAAAACTCCAAATAAATGTTGTAATTCTGAGGGGACAAGAAGCGCTTGGTCAATATCTGCTAAAAGAAAAATGGTCATATTTCAAAATTGTCTTGGAGCCAGAGGCTAAAACTTTCAAGGAATTCTTATTTTACTAAGCACTCTCAACTGTATAAAAATCAGCAATCTGAGATGTATGGTGACATGACCTGGGTCATTTGAAAGGAAATTGTCCTACATATAGGAGAGTACAACATTGGAGGATGAAGTTTTTTACCTGACTTACCTGACTTTTGACTCTAAAGTAAAAATTAATATTCATAGGCAAAAGGCAAAAATTAGGAAATTTTAAACCTCAAATTTTTTAAAATCTTTTTTAGCTGTTGCATGTTGAAAAAAAAAGCAAAAACATAAAATTTCATTTTATGTTAGCTTTCTTTTTTAACATGCGGTTGACAAGATATTATGTGTTAGTTTTTCTTTTTAACATGCAGTTGACAAGATACTGCAATTTTGATATTGATCTGATTTTCGGTTTTCATAACATTCTGAAAAAACATTTTTTTTAAAAAAATAAGAAATAAAAATGGAAAAAATATGAAAATAAACATATATAATGTTTTTTTGATGCTGAATCAAATAAATGAACTTAAAATGCTGAAATATTAAAGGAACACGATGAAACAACTAGTTTCTATAAACCAACTTTGAGGTCCAATATCTCAAAACACCCCCATCAAAATTTTTCTTTTTTTTTTGCTCTTAATTTTTTCAGCTGCTTTTAATCTTACTAGGCACAAAAATCTAACTGGAAAAACAACTGAAACATATTGAACTTTAATTTCAAAGATACATCAAGTTTTCAATAAATTAAAAAACTTGCAGTTAGAATTCTGTAAAATATTAAATTTAGCTTATAGACTCCTTAGAAGAAAAAAAAAAAAGCAATTTTGTTATATTTAAGGAAGTCTTAATTATACGATAATTAAAAAACATCTTGTATAATTTTTATATAAAAACTGACTAGGTGTGATATTGAAGTGCATTTGTTTTAAAAATTTTAATTTTAAAACAAATGCATTTCAATATCACTATAGTGATATGACAACTATAGTTTGTAAAAGTTTATAAAAACCAGTTTATAAAAAGTTCAATTATAGAACAACATTTATTAGTAAAATTTTATTTAAATTTCAACAAATTAACAATTTGATATATATAGATTGTATATATATGAATATATCTATAAAGAAAATTAACAATATCTATCAGTGTAAAAAATTATATAACAGAAGGATTCTGAAAAGGTTTCAATTATTTCTATATTAAAAACTTTTTTTTTTTTTTTTTACTGAAAATGAAGTAGGAACAAAGAATTCTCTTTTATTTAGGAAATACATTCATATGTAAGTAATTTATCTAAGATAAAAAAGGATTGTTAGCTATCTCTCCATTGTATAAAGATAAAGTCTTATTGTATAAAGAAATAGAAGATTTTGTTAAATTGTTTTATGACTCAAGTGATTTGTGTAGAACTATGCCTGGAAAAAAAGATTATGTTAGCATTCAAAAGAACGTCCATATTCCAAAAAAAACTGTTTTTGTGTAATTTAAAGAAACTATATGTATTATACAAAGAAAATGATCCAGTGATACAAATAAGTTACTCAAAATTTGCTTAGACCAAAGTGGTGCATTTTGCCGGGTGTAAGTGGTACACATTCTGTTTGTGTTTGTTCTTATCACGAAAATGCCATATTGCTAGTAGATGCCTTAAATATTGGACTAAAATATAAGGATTTACTTTCGAAAACTGTTGCTCAGTAGAAAACAAAGAATGCATGCTTGCACAGTGTGATAATTGTCCTGGTAAAGAACCCCTCACCAAATATTTGTATGAGATTTTTGGAAAATATAAAGATGATTTTGAGATACACTACAAGCAATGGCAAACTACTGATTGTGCAACACTATTGAGTTTAACAGCAAATGTTCCATCGTTTGTTGAACTATTGCTTTATTGCTTATCTTGCTTTGCTAACTCATTCTTTTATTGCTCACTCTCAATCACAGTACCTTAACCAACTAAAGCAAAATATAAATCAATCAAACATTATCATTTTTGGCGATGTTGCTGAAAATTATGCTTTTGTAGTCCAAGATGAAATACAAAGCTGTTGTTGGAACACCCAACAATGTTCTTTTCATCCATTAGTGATAAACTGTAAAGATTATAAAGGTGTACTGAAACATATTTCTTACTGTTTTATATCAGACAACATTACACATAATGTAACTTATGTGTACAAAATATTCCAGCTAATCATATTAATAATAAATGCAAAATTTTCCAATCTGCCCGAATTACATTTATTCACTGATATTCACTGAATTACATTTATTCCCTGATGGTTACGCAAGACAGTAGAAAAATTATAAAAGCTTTTACAATCTATGCCAACTAGAGAGTAAATTTGCCCTTAATGTTGAACTTTTTTGCGACGTCCCATGGAAAGTCACCATGCAATGGGATTGGCTGTACCGTAAAAAGGTTAACAGTGCAAGAAAGTTTAAAAAGACCATACAGAAACCAAATTCCCACATCATAAGCTATGTATGAATTTTGAGTTGAGAAAACCAAGTTTATTAACTTCATTTATATAAGAAATTGCATCGCAAAGAGCAAAAAGAAAGGTACACTGGTGTAACAACTCTACCTGGTACTCGTAGCTTTCATCAATTTATACATCTTGGAGATAACAGGGTTGGGGCAAATAGGTGTAGTATAGACACTAATTATACAATAATCCATAATCTTAAAGAGTAACAAGATATATTTCAACCTGATACTGTTACTCTAGGAGGTTATGTAGCTGTAATCTATGATGATAAATGGTGCTCTATAAACTTGCCCTAGTTCCGGTAGAAACTATTTGTTTGAAAATGCTGAAATAGAAGAAATACAAGTAAAATGGCAGCAATATTGTGAACTGTTACAAACACAGTCAAAATAACTTACATCTTTGATACCTTTAAAAATCTTGTATATTTAAGTAACTTATTTTAATTTTATTTACAAATATTTTTTGGGAATTCTTGAAAAAGTGATATATCTTTGAAATTAAAGTATATGTTTTATTTAATTTTCCAGTTAGATTTTTTGTGCTTAGTAAGATTAAAAGCAGCAGAAAAAATTAACAGCAAAAAAAAAAGAAAAATTTGACCGGGGTGTTTTATTATTATTTATTAAGATATTGGACCCCAAAGTTGCCTCAAAGTTGGTTCATAGAAACTAGTTTCATTAACTTTTTAGCACATTCCTTTTATATTTCAGCATTTTAAGTACATTTATTGAATTCAGCATCAAAAAACATTATATATGTTTATTTTCATATTTTTGCCATTTTTGTTTCTTATTTTTTTAAGAAAAATGTTTTTTCAGAATGTTATGAAAAACGGGTCATTTTAGGAAACCAGGTCAATATTAAAACTACACTATCTTGTCACTCAACATTTTTAGCTGAAATTTTGCATGCAATATTTTTTTATAATTAGTGTCACTGTTATAATAGTGTGTAAAAACATAACACAAAATGAAGGTGCATGGTTTAATGGACTGGGTGATTTGATGTGGAATTACCTTTGTTACAAAGAGTTATTTAACAAGTTACGCCTAGATAGTATTTATATAGTTTCTTGCTCTATGCTTAGAGTTTGTTCTAAAGGACGCTTTATTAAAAATAACTTTCGATGATGTTGATGAAATACTTCTTCATTGAATTATCTTTTTAAAGCCAAAACAATCTCACTAACTCAAAGAGATTTTAATGCTTACAAAGAAGAAATTTGAAGTTTGGGTTGGTGGATTTCATCTAAAAAATTGTAACAGTACTAGATGAATTTTCCATGAAATTGCTGAATAGCATCTATCTTGTAAAAGATAGATATTATTATTGACATTAAAATATATGTTCAAGATTATTAAGATATAGTTTTCAATTTTTTTTTTGCATTTTAATATACTATTTTCTTATATATTTACTTTAAAGTGGCCGTATTGCAAGCAGTTGTGTCCATATTGCAACTTTAATAAATATGTCAGGTAAGTTTGATCTTGCTAATTATTTTATCATTCAATTAATTTATGAGTATATATATATATATATATATATATATATATATATATATATATATATATATATATATATATATATATATATATATATATATATATATATATATCAATTATGTTGACATTAATAGTTGACTAAAAGAATTCTTTAGAATTGTTTACTTCTGCTTTTTTCTTTTAATGTTTTTTTCAAAGGGGGTTTTATTCTTATTTTTTAGTTCACTTATTGTTATTTTTTTTTTAAGAGAAACTTATTTTCATACATGCATTTAGAAATCAATTTCAATTTTTTACTTAGTAAACATTCATGTTCATATGTGTAATTATTTAAATTTTTCATGTAGGCAAATATGAGTTTTTTGAGAATGTTATATACGCAGGTGCTATTTTATGGATAGACCAATTCAATATAAAATCATCAATTTTTATCTTCCTATTCCCATCTTTATTTTGACAGCACAGTGTCTTTTGAATACTTTTTATATTTAAAAGAATAATTTTATTTGTGTAGATGGTACTCTAGTTGGTAAGCATTTATGAGTTGTTCCATACAATTGCCCAATAGGATTTAGTATTCATACACTCTTAGCAATCACATTTTTCGCTAACACACAGATCCAACCACTGAAAATGGTATAGAAGCTGGACCTAGAGACAAAAAATATATATAAGAAATTAAAGTAAAATTTTTTTTGCATTTTAATATACTATTTTCTATTTATATATTTACTTTAAAAAATGAATGGGCAGTACGAGTAGTTGAAAATATTCAAATACAAATATCAATAATCTTCCAACGGTAATCCTGGCGCTATTATTAGAAAGGACGGCTATCAAAGTAAATTAGCAATGATGGATGTAAATGATGATGATGGTGATGATGATGATGATGATGATGATGATGATGATGATGATGATGATGATGATGATGATGATGATGATGACGACAATGATGATGATGATGATGATGATGATGATGATGATGATGATGATGATGATGATGATGATGATGATGTCAATATTCCTTGTCCTATAACTGCTGAGATTAATGATGCTTAACAGTTCATTGTTGCAGAGATATCACAGTATTGAGCAGAAAGGACATTGAATAGAATTGGTGCAAGTGTAGGGAACCTAATAGCCAATCAATGTCAATTAATCCATTACAATAGTGGTCTTAACGAGCTACTTGCTTTACCATACTAGCTCATATCACAAAGATATTATGTATTCCTGCAACATTATTGAACAAGATTATTACCTGAAAACAAATTTATTAAAATTTAATTAACAAAGAACAAAGGAAACAAATGAACTTTTTTAGGATAAAAATAGAATGAAGTATGATTACAAAAATGTTTAGAAAAAATGTTACAATTAAATAAATGGTTAAACAAAGCAACCATGTAAAAATATACAAAATAGAATTCAAAAATTTAGTAAGTTGTTATGTTTTTTTTTTAAACATTAAGTTGTAATTGGAAGTATAAAAAAAACTGCCAATGATTGTTTTTCTAATATATTTTCTGTCGCTTGTAAAAAATACTGTTTGCAATTTGTCTGTTTTACAAATTATTCTAAACTATTATAAATTACTTTATTTTGTTAAGTTAAATAATAAATTAACTTATTCTAAATTATTTTAAATAAATTTATTTACTTTAAAGACATTACAAAAAGAACATTTACTATATATGAAATAATGGCATATGTTTATATATTTTTAAAAATCTAAATTACTTCCAACAAGATTGCAAACAACCATGATTAAGTAATGAGTTACTTTAAAATAGAGAATAAGTTAAAATACTGGAAAATACTTAACTGAAGACTTAAAAGGTTGTAGGTTGTATAATAGAGGAAAACATGAAGGTGGGTAAGAGTTGTAAAGTTTTTTTGATGTGCATAGAAAAAAAACTGGATTAACAAAAATTTTTGTAGCATGAAAGGACAGATACAGTAAAAGGATACAACTTAAATGAATAAGAAGCCAAGCAAGAATGAGTTTGCTTAATCTTTATCAAGAGATGACAGCTCGTTTGAGCATTGACGATGATATTTTTGTAGAAAAATGAAAGAAATGCAACCTTATGTGAGAGTGGCTCAAGCTCCACAGATAAAGCAGGTCTAATTACATTTACAATGTGTTTTTAAACTTTGTCTGAGAGTAAGAGGGTTGTTATTCATTAATATAGGAATGCTAACATTGCATTATTTTTTTGCAGTAAATAAATGAGTTTTGTTGTCTAAAAAAAACTGTGGATTTTCAGAGTCCAGAGTTATTAAATCCATAAGCCACTGCAAGCCTTAGGCTACTTAGTACTTAGGCTGTTGCATAAGAGAGATCAGATTAAAAATCGGTATCTTGTTCTAAGCAATCAAAAAGTAAAGATTTTTTGTCAAGACATGTGTATAAAGTTGAGTCGTCAGCAAGTAAAGCCACATTAGATGTAAAATTTTCATGAAGATTGATATTGTAGATAAGAAACAATACAAGAACAAAGATAGAACCTTGTGGTACCCTTAAAGTTACTTGAAATAAAGAAGAATGTTGTACCTTCAAGAATAACTTTAATATTGCAGTTGGAAAGAATCTTTATTATTGCAGTTAAAACTAATTTAATAATCTCAAAACCTTTATATAAAGAAACTAATAACAGAGTGAAGACTAATCGTAGGATAGTTGGAGAGGTCAAAGTGTTTTCTAAAGTTTTGAAAAATCGTAACCACTTATTTAGCACTTTTTAAAAATTTAGCAAAAGTTAAAAAGAGTTCTGGATAACACTTTTCTAAGACAATGATGGAAATCTTGTCTAGAGTATAAACTGTAGAAGTGTTTAATTGAGAATTAACTTAAGCATTGGAAGCCTGAGTGATTTGGTTTAACTGGCAGGAAGAGGCCTTTAGATTCAAAAGTCAAATTAGAGTAAGATTTCTTTGCAAATTTATTTTGGAGAGAAGTAAGTAAAGATCAGACCCATGAATTTAAATGTTAGACTTAAGTTTATGACACTCTTGAAGACTAACTAAGAGTCTCTAGTCTTGAAGACTAACTTAGAGTCATCTGAGATAAGTATTAATAAACTGACATCAACAGAGCTTAACATCAGACACCTTCACATCAGGACCTTTTTACATTGGCTTCTTGGAATAATAAAAGGGCATTTTGTTCTTAAGAGAGATGTTCTTGTAAAAAAGATGAAAAAAATGATTAATATTTAATGAAGCAACTGCTCAAAATGGTGAAAAATGTGGAGTAGAATGAGGATTGACTTAAAATTGAAGAGAAGGAATAAAAGCTTCCTAACTTTCATTCCAGAAAGAATAAAAGTTTTGGAGATGCGCTTGCATACATATTATGGATTGCAGATGCCATGCATACATATTATGGATATAAACACATATGTTTGCTATTTATTTAGATGCTGGATACATATGTTTGGATATGGATATAAACATGCTGCTGGATACATATGTTTGGATATGGATATAAACATGGATATAAACATGCATGCTGGTCACATATGTTTGGATATGGATATAAACATATATGTTTGCTATTTATTTAGATGCTGGCATACTAAATCTGTTCATATTTTTATAAACTAGTATTTATATGGTGTAGTATTTGTAAGAAAAAATGATCAGATGATGATTATGATGATGATGATTATGATGATCATGTTGATCATAATAATGTTTATATATGCATATATATAAAAAATATAATATGAATTTGAATAAAAAAAGTTTACTTTAGGATGTATAAATGTTTATGCAGCCCCGGTCACAAACCCGGCACCAGCTCAGGTCAAATATCAACCCTGGTCGCTTACTAATGTGTTACAGAAAAAATTCCTAGCAAAGTTCATGCATATGTCAATAACCTGCACAAAAAGATTTTTAGATTATTATTCTAGTAAATTTTAATATGTTGCAGTTATGTAATATCTGCAAAAAAAATTTAAAGCATATAACTTTTAAAGCATATAACTTTAGGTGGTTCTATTGGTCTTTTAGTTGAGTTAAAGGTTGTTTTATATTGTAAAAATACAAGTTTAATTGTTATGAGGTTATTAGCATTAAGATGAGCTTGGCAACTACCTATAATTAGAGCAATTTTTGTACCCTCAGTATGGAACTTTGTGTTAAACTTTTTGATTTTTATCAAAAGATGAGAGAGAGTTCCAAAGTTTTGAAGTGCGAAAAAAAAAAAAACTAGACACATAAATGTTTTTAGAGCATATAAGGACAGATACAGTAAAAGGATATGACTTTGGTGAATGACGAGTCAAGCAAGAATGAGTTTTGATTGATGGAACTAGAGATGATAGCTTTTTTAAGCAATGTCCATGATATTATTTGCAGAAAAGAGAAAGAGATTACAAAAATGAGAGAGGCTCAAGCTTAGCAGATAAAGCAGGTCTAGCTACATTTACAATGCATTTTTGGGCCTTGTCTAGAAGAGAAAGAGCATCATTAGAAAAACCAGCCAAAATATATAACAACAGTATTTCATATGAGGACAAAAAAGAGATTTGTAGGGAATCAAATTAGGAGTAAGACAATGGCAGGAATAAGATAATTCCTTCTGTTGGAAGCTTTTGATAAAATAGGCCAAATTCATCAAGTCTTTTTAAATTTTTAACTTGAGAGGTGTAAAAAACATGTCTGCTGCTAACTTACTATTGTTTCCTTTGCTCACAACTTTTTATAATTTAAAATTTTTTTAAATAACATAGCATTTTTCACTAATTTAGCCATCATTTTTAGGCTTAATTAAAATATGTTAAATGCAATATTAAATGTTTATTATGTTGTTTCAATGATGTGTTCACTAACTGGTTCATTTAATTCAGGTACACTTATTAACATTTAATAGCACAATGATGCTTTCCAACCCTCAAACATTCAAACCCTCAAACTTTCCAACCCTCAAATTACTGTATTTTTTCCCAAATTGAGTAAAC